TATATATATATATATATATATATATACACATATACATATATATAATTCTAACGGTTCACTTCCACCTGAAGATAAACCACCAGGAGCCCAACGGGGGAGACGCTAGCCGATGCTCTAGGAAGAGCATGAATTTATCTAAGGAATGTGGGATCTTTAAGGTGTGAGAAAGGGGTAACTCCCGAGAACATACAAATCAAATAAACGGTGCTCGTATATTCAAATGAACAAAGAAATACCAGTTAAGGAAGTACTTGCCTGCTTTATGTCCAAGTCAGCTGACGATTCCCTCGAAAATTAAAAATTATTTTTTCAATAATTTTCTTTTTGAAATATAAAACCTCGCATTTACTGGCTTGCCGTGCACGGTTACTACCCTGATAGTATCTCACACTAATTTGCAATTATAATTCATTTTAACTTTATATCACAGGCAAGATGAGTAATTGTTATATTCACACAATTACTGAATTTTAAGTTCGTTACATAACATAAGACATGATATGGGCTGATTATATTGATTGATTGATTGATTGTAGTGATTCCGGGCACGTCAACTACCAGGGTCATTATCCCCGTAAGTGTAGTGCATATTGCTCGGGAAGTGGCGGTGATCTTCTTCTGCTGTATAGCGAGATCCGGCGCCGACCTATCGTCGGCTAGTGGGGTTTTCCCCAATCAGGTATCTCCCACCAGTGGGTCACCGCTCCAGCTGGGAAAAGTTATAAGTTCCTTGACCAGTCTCTCAGCATGTGTACTTGTTTAGTGCGTGTTAGTGTAAGTATGTGTGTGCGTGTAAGGGGATAGAATATGACAGGGAAGAGATAGGAATGATTGCGCGTGGTTAGTAGTACGTTTATTAGAATACTTCTCCGACATTCACCTGGTGTAAACAACGGAAATCTAACGATCAGAGCAGCCAGCCGCTATAATTCTCCTCCAGACAGTGACTGAATTCGACAATCTAGCTAATGTCGAAACTCCTGCCACCGTCGGGACTAGACTTTATGCATGACCATTTTTTTTATTAAATCTGGACACCCAACAAAGGAACATGAGTTTCTTTATTTGCCTGAAAACTCATTATTTGTGTAGTTATACCTATATTAAATTTTAGAATTTACGGGTATTTCGCCGAATATGATTGATGCTTCATTGTACTTAAAATAAAAAGTCCTGGTTTGTTTTATTTAACGTATTGATTGGTATATTTTATTCCGCTGTAAATTACTTTTTCAAAAAATAAAAATTTCATTAAAAAATGTAATTATTTAAAAAATGAAAATTTCTATATGAACTCGTTCAGATAAAATTCTTTCGAAAAAATAAAGGCTATTTCTTGTTCAATTTTCTACAAAACACAAGAAAAAAGGGGGCACTGAACATACACAGATCTACAAAAATCATTTCAAGAATGCGGGCGTGCGCTTCTTGCTTCTGCACTAATGAATTGTGTCCGAGAAGTCTTTCATACTAGTGCCAAAGAACAATTAAAAGAATGACTGTCTGCCTGATTCGAGTTCCAAGAAATATTAGTATCTTATATGTTCACTCTGTCCCAGAAGGGATAGGTGATAGCGAAACGATTTCTACTACTGCTTTTCCTTGTGTGAGCGAAACGAATTTTACTACCGAGTCCCTTTACGTCCTAGGGATGGGGCCCTCCTGACCTTGCTCTTAAAATACAACAGACTATTTGTCAGGGGACGTGAGTATTATTTAGGACATGGAACTTATTTGAACATCAGTCGCAATACGAATCTCATAAAGAGAAGAATGCTACTTTCAGTTTGTTCTGTGAATCGTATGTATATTGTGAAACTCGAGTGGCGATCACCGTATGAAATACGACAGATGTTTCAATTCATCTTTCTGATGACGATTCTAGGAAAAGAAAATTTCCATTTTATCTGAAAGATTGGTTTAGAAGAGTTATGAGATTGGCAAATTTGTGATTCATGTTGGAAAAGAGTGAGTCGGCTTCCGAAATGTCTTTCTGTTTGTGAAGACTGCGTCGAGATCAGTGGCTCTCATGCCATTAACGAAAATAGTGAAACGTCCAGTGAATAAAGTGAAAACAGTTGAAATCAAGGAAATGACAATTTAAGCCCTTCAGATACTTCGTCAAATTATTGTAGAGAAGGTAAAGAAAAGTTTAATTACAATAGGAGGAATCCCTGTCAAGAAAGGAAAATTGCAACAAAAATGGTATACCCATGAGAAATTTCAGAAAGTACAAAGTGCTATCAGAGATCCTTTTTTTTTACACTGAAGATGCTTTGACATCTATTGAAAAAGTACACTTTATAGGTAATATTTAAAAAAGATCGATTCTTTTCACTCAACAGATGACAAGAAGTAGAAAATCCAAATTTTTGAAAGATTGACTTTCAATAAAATGAAACGACACATCGCAGCAACCGAACATATGATTAATGTAGCTAAAAAGTTGAATGAAAAATGGAATTTCGTCCAGACCTGAATGTAAATATGGTATGGCATTAGAACTGCGCATTGTGACGAAAGTTCAGGAATTCTAAGGTAAGCATGTGCTCCGTATTTGAAGTGAGTTGTGAGGGACCAGAAAATTTCAAAATGTCAAAAAGTGAGACAAAAGTGAGAAAAATTTGTCATTTAATAAACAAATATAATAGTGAAGTTTCACCATGTCAAGAAGTACGTAAATTGCTGCTTCATCTAAAGAAATCGACGGCTAGTAACGGAAGAAACACGACTGTTGCAGCTATCTACTACAGACTAGCTCCTATAAAATTCATATTTTTTAAAGTTACTGAGATTCCACTTTGATTTTTTCTGGAGTTGTCAACAACACTCTAGTGCGGGATCTTAAAGAAAATTTTAGCTCATAGAGTTTACAAAAGTATTGAATTTTCAAAAAGTAAAATAAAAAAAATTCAGAAAATTAAATATTTTGCAAAATCTCGAAAATTAAACACGTTTCTAAGTTTTGAATGGAATTTGTGCAATAAATGTATTCAAATACATGACAGTTCTAAGTTAGTAATGTGCGTCATTTTTAGTAAATTTCATTATGCAATATATCCGAAAATATAAGTTAGAAAAAATATACTCGTGTTAACTTATTTGATCCACATAATGAATGGAAAAAATTGGCTAAGAGCGTGCACCGATTCAGCGCTTCAATCCGAAGGGTCACGAGTTCTAGTCCCGCAATGGACATGGTTGTTTGTCCCTTGTATATCGTGTAGTATGTGTAGTGAAGGACCTCACGTTCGGCTGACCCTAGATCAGAGGAGCCCGCTAGTGTGTTAGTATCTATTGTATGGTCAAATATACGTTACATCAGGACGTAAAGGGTAACCGGCTGCCCGCTGGATAAAAGCACTAGGAGAAACAATTATTCAATCGAAAAAAATCTTTATTACATAGTTTTAATTGTACATGACCATGAAAATAGGTAAATGGAAAAAATGCGATGTTATTTCTGTAAAAGCAACGTCATCACTGTTAGACAAAGAAGTCAATATGGGAAAACCAAAGTGCGAGAAAGAGAGAGGTAGCTGTAATCGTCTCCATATTCCAACGTAAGGCTGAGACGCTCTGTAGATAAAGGCAGATTGGCTAGTATATCGCAATTGTAAGTTAAAATCACATTAAATTTAATAAAAACTCACTCTTTTTTAGATTTAACGTCGGCGCGGTAATGATTATATCTTTCACAGATCCACGTAGATCGCTTCTGGCATCACGATTCCGTAGTGAAGCACCAATGGCTGGAGCATGCGTGCCTATACCATCATATGTTGACCATGCATGGTTTCTCTCCACCGAAGATGAGGCAACTGTGGAAGCCTCTGGTGCAGTTGCAGCCGGAGCGTCAATGCAACTCCCTTCTCATGGGCATCCTGGGGTGGCTCTACAGCCCTGGTATCTACAAAGTACGTATACGGGTTATTTTGAAGCTGTAGAGCAGGCACGTTAAATGGCGCCCGTACGGGCTACATGCCCGTCAGGGAAGCCCGGCGCTCTTGTAGGCATAACAAACTTCCCCTCACACAGCTCTCACTTCCCCTCCAAATCCACAAAGGGATGTACATGCGCGCACGATTTACTTGCCCGCCTGCGAAACCCAGCGCTCCTGTACGCACGGGCAACTTCCCTTCACTCTGCTTTCATTTCCCCTCCAAATCCAGAAAAGGAAGTACTTGAAAATGAAGCGGCCCTAGGTGGGAATAGTGGCATCATACGAATGCTTTCCACTCTATCAAACAACCTAGATTTATATTACGTATATATTCTTTACTACTTATTATGTAATTTTTGTTTTATTTTTAAATTCTGTCGTGAATAAATATTTTTGCAGAGTGGCAAGAATATGTTTGAATGGCGAATTCTTTCCTTGTTTTTGTTTTCTGTTGTTTTGTTTTATTAAATCATTCAGTTATTTTTTGTATAAGATACAGTAATGATTCAACAATGATGAACTAACAAGTTTTAATAAAGTAACCATTTTTTCTTATGGGTAGGCAGCTCCTTTAACAGACAATTTTTATCTGTTAAACCTCATAACTCATACAATATGAACTCTTAAGTGAACATAATACTGATTACAGAAAACTTGATTTTACTGACAATTGACAATTAGAAATTTAACTGATGTATTACTTCATGTTAATGGATAATTTCTTTGCTTCAGTAAAGGAAATGGTAATTAACGTTCTTAAATTTGGAACAGTAATTGTCAACTCACTTCTCTAAAAGACTCTCATGGTGAGGTATCCTTTGACGGACAACCTCTCTGCAGCAATTTTACAACCCTTACTTTAAAATCTTGTGTCAGTGACTCTGGAGGCAGTGCTCGCTACTCTAGTAAGCTACTTACCTTGCCCGCGAACTTGACTTGCCTGTTCTAGAGCAGATCTGCACCACGTTTGCGCTCGCTGGTGTTCTACACTCTAGCCCTTTGCACTCTGTATCGAATGGGGTCCATATTGAAAAATACGTCTTTCGCTCTGACATTGTACGCGATATACATAATCGATCATTTCTGAGCTCCGAATATACGTATATCATGTTCGTTGTTGTACGAATAGTAGACCGTTTATAAGGCTTTTATTTAGTTACGTTGTGTTGATATAAACGAAATGCACGCTTTCCCTGTAGAGTTGCGATAGTTAAGTGGCTGTAGCACTGAAGAGACAATTAGGAAATCCTATTATCCGTTCACCCTAAGAAAAAACTTGATGTAAACAAACTGAAGAAATCTTTGCGCCGCACTACGCTTCTGATTGGACAACTCACAGCGCACTACTTTCCATTACGCAAACAGAATACCCCACTAATTCAAACTGAATAAGACCTGTCAAGCTCATGCAACTACTGTACTTACGATCAGTCTGCTTCAGAAAATGGTTGCAAATAACCGGATGTCAATTACTTGTATAAATTGGTTGCCCAAAAATTCGAATGTTCTTAATCACAATTCGCACTTTTGCACTTTGGATGCAAGAAATACACTTTCGATTGAACAGCGCTGAATACAAAGTCATGTATGCTTCAATCATAGTTTCTTCCCCTTTCTTTTCTTCTCTGGCGTTTGCAATTAGTTGTCCATTGTTGTGCTCTTTTCAGTGTCCTCATCCAGTTTTCTCTGAATGCACCGTCCCAGACATGGCAAATTCTATGCACCCGACTGATCTCCCGACATGTGTTGTAGAGTAGTGGATGCAAATGTGTGGCCAAGTAAGAAGTTGGACAAGGAATGGGAAGGAAAGATCGCGCGCGGTCCAAGACCCGTTTTGCCTGGAATTGATCGCACCACATCAAATCGCACGGCCATTCGCCTGGTGTTGATCGTAGGACCCACAGAAAACTACCGATCAGAGCAGTCGCCCACCGGAATTCTTCTCCAGACAGTGTCGAATTTCGACATAGCTATTTAGGTTGTGTCAAAAACTCTACTACCGTCGGAACTCGAACCATGGAACCTCCTGGCGAGAGGCTCTGCTCTGACACCTGTAGATACCCTGAGCCACCTGAGTCGGCACGAAGGATTCGGAGCGCAAGGGGCTATGACGAGAATGTCTGCGAGTGCATCCCGAGAGCAAGTGGTGGGGTATGTGTTTACATAGAATCTATGTTTCAGGTTACGACTGATGATCCATGGTAGACTGTGTGTTTCTAAAAGGACAAATATTTGAATGCTACAGACAATGATATGTTACAAATAAAGTGAGACTTCGTTAAATAGATATTTATTATTTCTGCAGGTAGGTTTATGCAACCTGGTGGCAGAACATTACAATATACGTATTATAATTGGAAATATTAATACAATGTAACTTTAAATTAATTTATTTTATTATTTTATTTAATAGGTAATAATTACAGACAAATTCGCTTACTTGATCCTATGTGGCTAGGCCGAAGGCCTTTAAGCCATTACAATACCTACATCCTTTCGCGTTCTAATCTTTCGAATTCTGGTATTCACCCCAAATGGTCTCTCCATCGCATCAAAGCCGCGGAAAAGAGACCATAAGGTACGGCTCAGGAAAAAACCCCTGAAGGGGGAAAAACCTGCCGTCAGAAGCCGAATACATACTAATCTATCCGACGTTTATTTTAACTATTTATTTTCTGGCGCGGGCGTCCCGCCGTCTCCTTCCAGTGCTTGGCCTCCTCAGCACCTGAAATCAAACAGCGCCACAGAAGATCGTCCGCACCAGCGCCTCTGCCCTTATATTTTCGATCCCCCCTTCTCTTCACCCCCTAATGTGCTTATTACTATGCCAGTTTTATTTTATTTATTATATTGACCTTTTACTTACCAATTAACTACGACTTATGACTTATTTCTTAACTGTTTACTAACTTAACATAAAATTACTGATTAACTTACATATTGTTAGCCTATTGACTTATTTATTTATCTCCAGTCAAGCTAACCGGTGCTGTTTTCCCACTCCCTAATTTCAGTTTTCCTAATGGTCCGAACATTTCCTAAAAAGTTCCTAATTCTTTCATGAATTTAGACCTTTTATCAGCTAAAATGTTTTGGGCCAGCGTTACGTTCCTGTTTAGAAAGTAGGAAATTAATTTAACACAATAATAATATAATAATGATAAAAATAAATGATATAATAGCAGTAACTCAACATTTTATGTCTGTCTTACACAGATATTTCAAACTAATAAATACACGACACTTTAATTACACTGCACTCCACTTCACTTCACTTCACTTAACACACTTGCATTTCTCTTTCTACTTCTCTATTGCAATACACTTCACCATACGTCACCACACTTCACCACACTTCACCACACTTCAATACAAATACTTCTTTGAATATAATTATCTATTTGATTCACATTGTATTTAATAGTAATTATCACATTAATAATAGTAATAACAATAGTCGTAATGACAATAATATTATCAATAATAATATTAATAATAATATTATTATTACTATTAAAATAATAATAACAACTGTTTTAATAAGCCTAACTTACTAATTAATAAAGTTTACAAATATCATAGGTTAGATTACTTTTAAATCTTTGAACACCTAGAGGAAAGGGTCCCGAGGCTGAAGCGGGCAACTTATTCCAGCCCGTTTATTGTTTTATTTGTAAAGCATAATTTTGCAACATCTGTTCTCTGTGGCCTGAACTGAATGTTGTGCTTGTGATCCTCTCTACTACAGTACGTGGGTCTACTGAGTCGGGTGTAGATATCTTTCCAAGCTGGATAACCGGCATACGTTTGTACGAGGCACAGTCTTGCCTTAACCCTCCCATTCTTTCTTATTGCTTCGGAAAGTAAGTTTACATACTCTTCTCTGTAATTATTCCTTTTGTGATTTTCTATATGGGTCCCAACAAACAGCTCCGTATTCCACTAATGGACTAACTAGAGATAAGTAAGCTAATTCTCTCGCTTTCGCAGTACTCGTTTTTAGTATCCGCATCCGAAATGCAAAGACCTCAACTCTTTTCCTACGACAAAGTTTACCTCATTTTCCCAATTCGATTCGCTATCAATCATTATTCCCAAGTACTTACAAGACTAGAGTCTATTAATATTTTCATTACCTAAACGGTATTTACACTGTATTTGCTGCCTCTACTAAACGTGATAGTTTTTTTAATTTTCGAACTACTTATTGTCACAAATGAAATCGTAACTCATATGAAAGTTAAAATAACTAAGATCTTATTTTTCTTGGACCATTCTTCATCTCCACAGTATTCAAGCAAACACAAATAATACTTGGGGGAACTCAGGAACCTGAGTCTAGGTTCGCAGAGTAGGTCCGAGACTAACTTGGTCATCAGGAGGTCGGCAACCAGGAACTTACACATACAATTTGGATCAGACTGTAAGTTTGCTCAAAATGGCAGAACTTCAATTTGCCTGAATATATTTTAATAAAAAGAACTCATCATGAGAATGTTTTCTGCTGAAGTTCACGTTTTCTCCTACTTCATGAATCCGAGATTAATTTCCCCTAGGAACTAATACAAGACGGTCATAGTGTTGTTCCGTTTAATTGTGATTTTTATTCTCATTGAAATTAAAGAGGACAAATCGATAAACAAAGGCATGTTATAGGCATATCCTAACCCTGCTTTTTTTCTAAGAGAAGTCTTTTTTTAAATTTTATTTTCGTCAAATATCAGTAAACATTGTAGAGAAAGTGGTCCACAATTGAAATTTCGCTCGTAAAATAAGATTACTTACTCAAATCACTTCAATGTAATGCAGCCAATATAATGCACCACTGAATCCAGTATGGCTGGGTTGAAGGTGAAGACGTGTTATGCTATTTCTGGTTTTGTTTGACGTCAAAGTTATTTTTGTTACAGTT